CTTCCCCTCTTCAGCCCCCCTCGGTCCTCTCTCCAGAGGAGATGCAGGTCACCCCTCAGCACCCCTGAACTCCTCTGGCATCTCCGTCCTCTCCTGCCAAAGTCAAAGTGCCCCCCACTACCCCAAAGCCTCTGGAGCTGGCGGGATCAGCCACTCAGCAAATCTCCTCCCAGAGTAATTGGATGTGATGGAACGAGGGCTTTTCAGGTCCTGAGTGGAAGTCTCTGGATGTCATTTAATGGCACAAAAAATAAAAGGCTCAGGCCTCCCGCCTACCACCGCCGGGACATCATTAATCTCAGCAGAAAGGTATCAGCGCTTCTATCAATGCAGCCAGTCCCGCGACGAGCCAGACAAATTACAGACCTGAGCTGGGCTCTCTGCGGGGCGGTTATTAGGCTGGAGTTGGGTTTTTGTTTTTTTCTTCAGGGCCACCGGCCCCAAGAAGAAGCAGTGGTGCCCTTGCATAAGGGGAGAGGCAGGGAGGCCGGGGAAGAGAGTGCTCGCCTTGGGTGGATATGGGTCACCACCTGAAGGGACAGGGCTGTTCCAAGCCGGATCCAGTGGCCGCTGTCCTTGCCGAGACTGCCTTGGGACAAGAGGCTGCTACAGCTCCAGCCTCAAGGACTCAGCAACCCACTCCCTGTTCTCCAGTCCGCCAGAATAGGGGCCCATGGGATAATGGAGCTGGGGTGGGGGGACAGCTCCCTCTCTCAGCCTCCCTACCCCACTTCCCAGGCGAAGAGGGAAATACATCAGCACCCGCTAAGGACCAAGTGACAGGTCAGTCCCTTGGCTACAGCACGGGTACCCAGGAAGTGTTATCCTCTACTGCTGGGAAGTCTTAAGAGTGGGCCTGGCCAGGTGCAGTGGCTCACACCTGTAATCCCAGCACTTTGGGAGTCCCAGGCAGGAGGATCACTTGGCCAGGAGTTCAAGACCAACCTGGGCAACGTAGGGAGATCTTGTCTGTCCAAATAATTTTTTTTAATTAGCCAGGTACAATAGCACAAAACTGTGGTTCCAGCTACTCGGGAGGCTGAGGCAAGAGAATCAATCACCTGAGCCTGGGAGGTCAAGGCTGTGGTGAGCAGTGGTCATGCCATTGCACCCCAGCCTGGGCAAAATAAGAAAAGAAGGGGCCTGCCAAAGGGAAGCCAGGGGTGTCACTAGGGCTGGGACCTTGTCTGCCAGGGACCCAGACTACAAAGTTCTACTGCTGGCCAAAGCCACCCTTCGAAGGACCAGATTGTAATTAATTCAGTATTACTTGTATTACATTAGAAACCTGCCGAGGGCAGGCGGTGAAATAAGGCAGCTCCACCGACCCCATGCCTGGCAAAGGACCAGGGGGACGGCTGCCAGTGCTAAAGGGGCCCTGAAGCTGGGGTCTGACCTCACCTAAGAGCTTGCACTTCTAGCAAGGGAGCAGACTTCCCCATTCTACTAATTCCTGCAAGGGGGCTGGGGCTGGCTGGACTCGGCAGGGCACCTCTCAGTTCCTCAGATGCATGCTTAGCCCAAGCAGGCCCAATGGAGCCATCCAGATGCATGAGAGAGACAAACCACTCCCAAACAGCGGAAAGCCAGCCCGGTAGATAGGGGAAGCTGGGGGTAGAGAAACCGACTGTCAAGACCTGCCCCAGGGCTATTCCCAAACATTCCTGCCATCATCACAGTCCCTGGGACTAAAACTCTGAGGAGGAGCCCCTTCCCCAGCTGCTGAAGACAGGGGACATCATTCCCCACTAGAGTCTAATAGGAGGCCAGGCACACAGTTGTGGCCCAGACACCCGGTGGCTTTAGATGAGGTTATCCAACTCCCCGCTTGGCCCCCGTCTGGAACATCACTGGTATCTGACATCTCTCGTCGCTAACATCTTTCCTATCAGGACTGACCAGCAAGTGGGAGAATGGCCTCTAGGCAGGGCCACTGGGTCTGGCTCTGCAGGATGAGAATGGCACCCCACGCTGTGCAGGGATCAACCCGTGCATCTCATGTGGCAGCGCTGTCCTGAGACGCCCAGGCCTCTGTGTCCCAGCCACAGGGCAGTTGGCTCGTGAGACAGGCATCAGACAGCTTCCTCTTTCCTTCTCCCTTCAGCCAAGGCCCCCCACCACAGAGGCCTCTGTGATGCCCGCACTGCCCCTGCCCTCATTCCAGGAAAAGCCCGGCCTGGGTGCATCCAGGGCACAGCGGAGCAGCCCAAGCACAGACAGCAGCACTGCCCTCTTCCTGCCTGGCCTCGGACGCTCTGCCTCTCAGGGACAGCGGTGCCGTTCAGGAAGGGGCTTTCCTCTGAGCCGTGACCACGGAAGCCGCAGCTTCCTAGCTCCCCAGCTCTCCCCACACACCCCAAGGGCCTGACTCACCCCCTCTGCCTTCTAGAACTTGCCCTCTGTGGCAGGAAACAGGGGGTGTAAGGAGTCGCGGCCGAGCCAGGATAGGAGGCAGCGAGAGGCTGGGTCTCAGGAGCTGCCCGGGGAGCCTGAGAATCACAGGGCTATCGACTTGGGGCTGGAAAGAAGCCACGAGGCCCCCAGGACACCGCAGGTTCAGAGGCTTCCAAACTAGCGAGGGGAGCCAGCTCTTGCTCTGGACTCAGGGGATTTCTTGCCCTAGCCTCGTGAGGGTTTCAGTTTCCTTCCTGCCATGAAGGTTCCTTTCTGCTCTACGGTGGGGAAGGCCCCTGGTCCTGGTTCCTGCCACACACCAATTCACCCCTAAGTCCTTATTACCCTGGCAGGCATGCACACACACAGACCGGCATACATACATACACACACATGTACCGACGCATACGCATGTGTGTGCACACACTCTTTTCCAGGGTCATAATACCAAAATCCCTTTCCTCCCAGCCAGCTGGGCTCCCGGGGTGCAGATGCTCACACACAGACCCTCTGAAAGGTCACTCAGGTGACAACGAGCCTCCTAGGAGAACCCGGCTGCAGTCAGTACACCTCCAGCAGGAGAGGCTTTCTCAGCATCTTGGCCACCCTTTCTCCAAAAGAACTCCTGGAGCCCCTTGCTTTCCAGCCCCTCTGAGCCCCATCTGAGCATGCAGCCGCTGTGTCAGATAGGATTTGAGAGAACGTGCAAAGGCCTTTCCTCCCTCCCTACCCCTATGAAGCTTCCTCGCCAGTACCCACCTTGTACCTCAGTCATCCCATCTGCGATCCGGGGATGGGAACGGTCCTCCCTTTTTAGGATTGCTGTGAGGATTAAATGATTTATGAGTCAAGCTCTTAACACATAAGAAGCACGGAAATTGAGGTGTTACTGCTATTGTTATTTGCATTATTGTTATTGTTATTTTGGGTTTGGGATTAAAAATTATCCTCTCCTTAAGAACGTATTTGAGCCGGGCGCGGTGGCTCAAGCCTGTAATCCCAGCACTTTGGGAGGCTGAGGCGGGTGGATCACGAGGTCGAGAGATCGAGACCATCCTGGTCAACATGGTGAAACCCCGTCTCTACTAAAGATACAAAAAATTAGCTGGGCATGGTGGCACGTGCCTGTAATCCCAGCTACTCAGGAGGCTGAGGCAGGAGAATTGCCTGAGCCCAGGAGGCGGAGGTTGCGGTAAGCCGAGATCGCGCCATTGCACTCCAGCCTGGGTAACAAGAGCGAAACTCCGTCTCAAAAAAAAAAAAAGAAAGAAAAAAAGAACGTATTTGAAATGCCAGCAGCCTCTGGAAGAGAAGGATGCTGCAATGGACTTGATACCTCCATTGCCATGAAAAGGGTGGTGGGTGCTAGCCGATGAGACAGGTAGATGGGAGGGTTGGTGGCCCGTGCGTCTTGGGTCAGGCTCTGAGAGGAAATCTAGGCTGCCAGCCTCCTGCCCTTTTCTGTTGGGGTATCGGAGATAACTGGTCTCCATTAACCCACTTAATACCCACACTGCCTCGCTCTGCTCTGGACAGGGTGTTCCCCAAGCACCCTCTCCGCCCAGGGAGGTTGCTGGATTTAGCAAAAAACGAACAACAACAAAGCAGGATTGGAAATAAAATTCAGTAAAATTTGAATTCCAGATAAACAATGAAAAGAAAAAATCCGTACATTCTCCATGCAGAATGTGGGACAGGCTCACAGCAACAAACGATTTGCTGTTTATCTGAGATTCAAATCGAACTACATCCTGCCTTTTCCTGGCAAGCATCTGCCCAGGGTGCCTGACTCCCAGGGTTTGGGAAACAAGAATGTGGGAATGTGCCTCTGACCACTTCCCTCAGCCTCACTCCACGCCCCGGGCTGTGCCCTCCGCGCCTTGCCACGAGGCCTGTTCACACTCACTCTGGGGAGATGTACCTCGTGCCCCCCTGTACACACTGGTGCTTTTTCCCCCTGAAAAGGAGCCCCTCTGACCTGGGCACTGGCTGGGTTTCTGCAGGCCCAGCTCCCCCACCAGGGTCCAGGGGCTGCTCCTCTGCCTTTGCCACGGGGAAGGCACTCTGGTGCATGCCATGTCCTGGGACAGAGAGGAGGAGGTGGTTAGGGTTTGAGGGAGAAGATTGAAAGAACAGCACAGATACTTCCGCCAATCTCAGCCTCAGCAGCAGGGGTGAGCAGGTGTGAAGGAAGGCAGCAGTAAAGCCTCCTCCTGGGGTCAGGAGAGCATGCAGGGAGAGGGTGTGAGTGGAGGAAGTGGGCAGCCCGCGTGATTGGGCTTCCTTTCTGCCTAGGAGTGAGAATGCAGAGTTTTGCTAAACAGAGGTGCTGGGGAAGGGAACTCAGGCATCCTTGACTCAGTCTGGGCTCAGTCCCCACTGCCCTCTGGGGGGCAGGCAGCTTTGCTGCTGTTCAGAGGCTCTGCTGACATGCAGGGGCTGCCTCTGTGGCAGGAGCCAGAAGCTCCCCCAGCCACTATGCCACATGGCCATTGTGTCACCTGCTGCCTCTGCTGCCCTAAACCGGCCTCCCTCTCAGGCCGCTGCCAGCTTTCAAGTCCATGGCTCTCTCTCACTGCCTCCCTGTGGTCTGTTTGTCCTTCCAGGCTCTTGGAAAATGGACAGATTTCTGAACCGCTTCCACCTGGGCGAACCTGAAGCAAGCACCCAGTTCATGACCCAGAACTACCAGGACTCGACAACCCTCCAGGCTCCCAGAGGAGGGGCCAGCGAGCCCAAGCACAAACGCAAGCGGAGATAACTGCCTGCTAAACAGCACGCTTCGCTGTCCAGGTGCGTGTCACACTGCCCGCCACCGACAGTGTGGGTACGGAACCCCCTCTGGATATGGAACCCCTTCTCTTCCAAATTAAAAAAAAAAATCATCCAGGGCTTGGTGCTTTGCTTCCTAACTTGTGTTCCTTTGAAAACAACAAGAGGAAGAAACAGCCAATATCCAGCACTGGGGACTGAGGTTTTTCTGTAAATGCAAGTGGTTGGGTGGGAAGTTCGGGGAATAGACAGGCAGGCAGGACATAGTGATCCCTATGCCCAAACTGTCACTGAGTCACTGTGGGACCTCAGGGAAACCTCTTATCCTCTCCAAAGTTCTGCTCCTTTGACTGTGACACGGAGGTAGGAAGAAGTGGGAGAGGGTGATTGGTTTATCACCGTAGCCTTTCCAGCTCTGACATTCGACAACATTCATTCACAGAATATTGTTGCATGTGGGATGCACCTGGCCTTCCTCCAGGCACTGGGGATGCATGCCTTATCCACATGCATGGGTAAGCAGGGCAGACACAGCATGGTGCTCACCTCATGGAGCTTCCAGTCCAGCAGGGGAAGCAAATATCCCCAACACATGGTGAATTGTAGTAAGTACAATGAGGGTGCAAAGGGGGCCTGATTTCTGATGGAGAGGAAGGGTTGAAGACTCAGGCAGAGCCCTGATGTTTAACTTCAGGCTGAAAAGCGGGCTAGGGGTTACCAGGTGAGTGGAGACAAGAATAGAGAACATTCCAAAGCTCCTCCAAGCCCTTGGGGCTGGCACGGGCATGCATGGTACCTTCCAGGAAATGAAAGGCCCACTGAAAAGTATGCAAGGACGAGAACAGCATGACAGGGCAAAAGGCAGGCCATGCCAGGCCTCGTTGCCGAGTTAAAGCTCTGAATTGTATTCTAAAAGCAATGGGAAATCATTAAATGATAGGTAGATTGGACCAGGCGTGATGGCTCGTGCCTATCATCCCGGTGCTTATGGAGGTCAAGGTCAGAGGATCACTGAAGCCAAGAGTTCAAGACCAGCCTGGGCAGCATAGGGAAACCCTGTCTCTACAAAAATAAGGCTAAAAACTTAGCCAGATATGATGGTGATGCCTATAGTCCCAGCTACTCAGGAGGCTGGCATAGGAGAATCACCTGGGCCCAGGGGTTTGAGACTGCAGTGATCTCTGCACTACAGCCTGGGCAACCAGGCAAGACCTCATCTCTAAAAAATTAATAAAATAAAAATAGATTGGAGGGGCAGATGGCATAATCAAATGTATGCTTTTTAAAAGCTGTGAATTAACTCCTTGGTATCTGCAAAGAATGAACTTTCAGCATCTAACTTCCCTGGACTTTCTCTGCAGGCCTCTTGACTTCCCTACCCAAGGACCCGTGGGAGACCCCTCTCTGCTACAGCCTCATTCCCAGCCTAAAGTTCTGGAGGCCTCTCGCCTCCCCACCACCACTCCAGTCCTCTCAGCACCCCCAACACCCCCTTTAGTTTGGTTTCCCTCCAAGAGTTAATAACTGGGGGCACTCTTGGCTAGCACCTAGCAATGTCGGTAATTCATGTGTACAGACTGCTTGGAGGCCCCCAGATGAAAAGAGCAGGCTTCGTCTGAGTACAAGGTTATTACCATCTCAGAGTCCTGCCCCTCGTTAGCCGGAAGGCAGAGGGCCCTAGATGACCCCTCGGCCCCGCTGAGTACGCTTTTGACTAGTGGAACAATTGCAGTGGTGGGGATCTGAAGAATGCCATGGGGCCGGAGGTTGAGTTTGTAAATGAGGAGAGACTTGAATCATGCCCCCTTCATAATAGATTCAGCTCTCTGCCCAGGAAATGGGCACCAACTTCTGGTGCTGCCGAGGGCATTTAATGCCAGCCCAGGGCAAAAGGAAGCCTGGACAGTAGAAATGGTGGAGCCTCCCCACTTCCTTCTACCCCATCAGGCAAGCCTGCAAATAGGCCGAAAATAAGAAGCAAAGGGAAGTATCCATCTGTAGTGCCATGGAAGGCAGCCCCACAAGGTACTTTCTGGGTCCCCTGCTCCCTGAGACCTTCCCCCCACAGCCCCCACCCTAACAGGCTCAGAATGTAATTGGCAGCTCCGGTTGGTGCCCAGGGCCAGGATAAATAAAAGGTCAGCTTCCTAGAGCAGCCCCAAATCGAGACACATCCTCCCCTCTTCTGCTTTTAATTCATTGTGGCTAGCCTGTTTATTTTGGGTGAGGAAAAAAAATCGGATGTTTATCCTTCGAGGAAATTATCGGCTTGCTTGCTTTCCTTCTCCCAACCCCCTCCTTCCTTTTGACTTGACGTTTGGGGCTTTGAATTCAGCTGCTGGAGAAACCCCCACCCTCCTGGCCCCGAAATGTGAAAAGAGAATAAAGCTGGCCCAGGCTCTAGGTTGAAGCCAGCCCTGACCAGGCGATCCCTGGAAACCACAGAGAAGGAGGTCCCAGTTGTGGAGAGGGGAAACCTGGAGGCCACGGGGATCTTGGGGAAAACCCAGGCTTTGCCGGTGCTTTCTGCCTGCAGAAGCCTTTGGGTCTCTCATCCCTTTTCTTTGCACCACCTTCTTCAAGAAGGAAAAAGATGGACATCTAAATTGCTTTGAGATTTCTAATGAAGCAACTAAGAAAAATATAAGGGAGCATTAGTGACCCCTTTACAAGGGTAAAGAGAATTGACATTATTATCATCATTGTAATCAGATGCATTTATTGAACACTTTCTGTATACCAGGCACTGCACAAAATGTCTAATGTGCGGTGTCTCACTGAATGGATCCCCATGCTGCTTCAAGGCTTTCTGGGGACCTTCATACATGTTCTCTCATTTTATTGTCACAACACCCTAATAAAGTGGGTGTTATTCTGATTTTGGAGATGAGGAAACTGACAGTCCCATCAGTTGAGTTATTATGGAGCAGGGGTCCCTGTTCCATAACTAGTCATGGTGGAATCTGGTGTTAACTAAAGCCTCCTCAGGTGTAATATTTAGAGGTAAACTGTACTCTAATTTTACTCTCTGGGCTATATAAGATAAAAGCCAGATCAGGATCTGGAGTGGGCCAAAGAGAGAGGGCCGGAAGTTCCAGAAGAAATTAAGGGGACTCTTCTCCAAGTGTCTTTCTTTACTCCAAGTTAAGCCAACCTGGACCACGTGTGATTTGTGGGGATGGCCAGGGTTCCTAGATACTCAAGGCAACAACAGCTGGCCCAGCCCAAGGCCATTACCATCCCTCCCCACCTGCCCAAGGTCACTACCCCAACAGTTTACCATCCTTAGTGCATTTAATTACCCTTCTCCCTCCCCGTGATTCCTATGTGATAACTGCTCTTAGGTAAGGAAGAAAGGTAGAAAAGAAGGAAAAGCCACCTAGGAAGGCTCCAGGTTGATGATGATGGTGATGATGATGGTGATTGGTGATGATGCTGATGATGGTGATGGTGATAGTAATGATCATGGTGATGATGCTGATGGTGATGATGATCATGGTGATGATGCTGATGGTGATGATGATCATGGTGATGGTGATGATGCTGATGATGATCATGGTGATGGTGATGATCATGGTGATGATGATGGTAATGATGCTGATGATGGTGATGCTAATGATGCTGATGATCATGGTGATGGTGATGGTGATCATGGTGATGGTGATGGTGATGATCATGGTGATGGTGATGGTGATGATGGTGATGATGATCATGGTGATGGTGATGGTGATGATCATGGTGATGGTGATGTTAACGATGCTAATGATGGTGATGATGCTGATGGTGATGACAATGGTGATGGTGATCATGCTGATGATGGTGATAGTGATGATGATGGTGATGATGATCATGGTGATGGGTGATGGTGATGGTGATGATCATGGTGATGGTGATGACGGTCATGGTGATGCTGATGGTGATGATGATGATCATGGTGATGATGATGGTGATGACTGATGATCATCATGGTGATAGTGATGGTGGTGATCTTGGTGATGGTGATGGTGATGATGATCATGGTGATGGTGATGATGGTGATGCTGATGATAAGGTGATAGTGATGGTGATGATCATGGTGATGGTGGTGTTAACGATGCTAATGATGGTGATGATGCTGATGGTGATGATCATGGTGATGGTGATCATGCTGATGATGGTGATAGTGATGATGATGGTCATGGTGATGGGTGATGGTGATGGTGATGATCATGGTGATGGTGATGATGGTCATGGTGATGGTGATGGTGATGATGATGATCATGGTGATGATGATGGTGATAATTGATGATCATCATGGTGATAGTGATGGTGGTGATCTTGGTGATGGTGATGGTGATGATGATCATGGTGATGGTGATGATGGTGATGCTGATGATAAGGTGATAGTGATGGTGACCATGATAGTGATGGTGATGATGATCATGGTGATGGCAATGATAAGGTGATAGTGATGGTGATGATGACGATGGTGATAATGATCATGGTGATGGTCATGATGATGGTGATGATAAGGTGATAGTGATGGTGAGGATGATGGTGATGGTAATGATGATCATGGTGATGGTGATGGTGATGATGATGGTGATGATAAGGTGATAGTGATGGTGATGGTGATGATGATGGTGATGATAAGGTGATACTGATGGTGATGGTGATATAAGGTGATGGTGATGGTGATGATGATGAGGTGATGGTGATGGTCATGGTGATGGTCATGGTGATGGTGATGATAAGGTGATAGTGATGGTAAGGATGATGGTGATGGTAATGATGATCATGGTGATGGTGATGGTAAGGATGATGGTGATGGTGATGAGTGATGGTGATGGTGATGATGAGGTGATGGTGATGATCATGATGACAGCAATGGGTCCAGGTGTCAGAGTTCAGCAGCCATGGGATAATAAGAAAGCATAGTACATACATTCAGTTATGCCATTTAAAAACACAAGTTTTCTTACTGAGCAGATCTAAATTCACATCAAATTTTTACCATTGATAGCTCCGTGACCTTTGCAACTGCTCTGGACCTATGTTTCAACTGAAAAAAAAAAAAAAGAAAGAAAAGAAAAAGAGAAAACAGTATAATGAAAAATAAATGAAAAGAAGTGCTTTCCTCC